TTTATAAAAAGAGTTTGACAATAAAATGATATTTCCCTTTTGGTTTATATAAATTTAAACCATTTTAATTAATAGAATTTTGGGGAAATTTAAAAATACATGGACAAATAATAATTTTTTTTTTTGGGTAAAAAGTTTGTTGGTGAGTTGTGCAAGGAACCCTCCCGTTGGGGCGGCGCGGGTCAGGGGGTTTTTTAAACCCTTTTGGGATAGATAGTGAGGGGTGGCCGCCCCCTTTTATAGCTTCCTTGGATGCTTTACTTTTATAGTTTTCCCTTTATAATTGATGTCACAAAGCGCTTTGAATTTTTCCCTTTTTTTTCAGATGGTTTTTTTTGCAATTTTTGAAATCACCCCCGTTTTCTGTGATCTTTTTGCATATATATTTAATATAAATTATATATATATATTATTATATATAATATATATTTTATATATATATATATTAAAATTTTATTATTATATAATTTTATTTATATATATATATATACATATTATATAATAATTATATTATTAAAATATATATATTATTAAAATTTATTATATATAAAATACTATACTGGCGTAGCGTAAAAGGTGTGGTGGCACTCTCAAAGTAGCGTGAAAAGGGCTGGTGGGACTGTCCAAATAGCGTGACAAAATGCGGTGGGACTGCCAAGTGCAGTGACAAGATGCTGGTGGCACGTCACAAATAGCAGGACAAGTGCTGTGGCACTGCCCCCAAGAAACGTGACAAGAGTGTGGGGACGCACAAGAGCATGACGTATTAACAGGATCAAGGTGTGTTTGGGCTCTACATATCACTTGTGTTGTTGGTAAACAGTGACAGAAGAAACAAAGGGATAAAAACATGGTGGGGTGGCAGAGAATCCTTTGGAAAACATGTTTTGCGCAAAGGTTTGTGTGATAAATCCCCCTTGGCGAAACATGTTATACCCGGATACCTGGGGTATATCTGAAGTGTACCTGGATTTACCTGGTGGTTTTCCGGGGGGGCATCCCCCGCGGCCCGGTCCATAGCCCAAAACTGTGGTGGATCATGGTTGATCAAACCCGGTGTTTTCGTTTTTCCCACGGTAACCGAGTACAACAACAGCCCGGTTGGTCAAGTACCCATTTAGGTGCCTTGCAAACCCTTCTTGAAGTAGCAGGAGTCTTTGGTAGTCCCCTTACGTATGCGGAAGGCAGTTGAACAGTCCCGGGCCTTTGGGCACTTATTGGTTGTCTCTGCAACCAATTTCTTTATATTTGTTTTTGTTTAAGTTGTGTGTGTGTGTGTGTGTGTTGTGTGGGTGTGTGTGTGTGTGTTGTGTGTGTGGGTGTGTGTTCTGGTGTGGTGTGATGTGGGGTGTATGGGGTGTGTGTGTATTGTGTGTTGTGGTGTGTATTTTGTGTGTGTGTGTTGTGTGTGTGTGTGTGTGTGTGTGTGTATGGTGTGTGTGGTGTGTGTGTATGTGTGTGTGTGTATGTGTGTGTAATGTATGTGGTGTGTGTAGTGTGTGTTGTGTGTGTGTGTTGTGTGTTTGTTTGTGTGTGTGTGTTGTGTGTGGTATTGTGTATGTTGTGTGTGTTGTGTGTGGTGTGTGTGGGTGTTGTGGTGTGTGGTGGGTGGTGGTAGTTTTGGCGTGTGTGTGTGTATGTGTGTGTGTAGTGTGTTGGGGTGGGTAGTGTGTGTATGGTTGGGGTGTGTGTGTGTGTGTTGTGTGTGTGTGTGTGTGTGTTTTGTGTGTGGTGTTGTATGTGTGTGGGGTTTTTGGTGTGTATAGTATGTGTGGTTGTATGTGTGTTATGGGTGTGTTGTTGTGTGTGTTGTTGTGTGTGTGTGATGTGTGTGTGTATGTGGTATGTGGTGTGTGTTTTTTGTGTGTGTGTTTTGTGTGTTGTGTTGTGTGTGTTTGCGGTGTGTGTATGTTGTGCTGTGTGTGTGTGTGTGTGTTGTGCGTGTGTGGGTTGTGTGTTGTGGTTTTTGTGTGTTGTTGGTGTGTGTTGTGGTGTGTGTGTGTTTTGTGTGGTGTGTTGTGTTATGTGTGTGTGTTGTGTGTGTGTTGTTTTTGTGTGTTGTGTGTTTTGGGGTTTTGTGGTGTTTTTGTGTTGTGTGTGTGTGTGTTTGGTGTACGGGGGTTATTGGTGTGTGTGTTTTTGTGGGTTTTTGTTGGGTTGGGGTTTTGGGGGGGTGGTGTGTTTGGTGTATTGTGTGTTTTGTGTGTGTTGTGTGTGTGTTGTATGTAGTGTTTGTGTGTGTGTGTGTGTTGTGTGTATGTGTGTGTGTTTTTGTTTTGTTTGTGTGTGGTGTGTTTTTTGTGTATGTGTGGTGTGGTGTGTGTGGGGTGTGTGTGTGTGTGGTGTGTGTTGTGTGTGTGTTGTGTGTAGCGTGGGTGTTGGTGTGTGTTGTGTGTTGCGTGTGTTTTGCGTGTGTTTGTGTGTTTCGTTGTGAGGTGTTGCGTGTGTGTTGTGTGTTGCGTGTGTGTTGCGTGTGTTGTGTGTTGCGTGTGTGTTGGGTGTGTGTTGTGTTGTTGCGTCTTGTGTGTTGCGTGTGTGTTGTGTGTTGCGTGTGTGTTGCCGTGTGTGTTGTGTGTTGAGTGTGTGTTGTGTGTTGCGTGTGTGTTGCGTGTGTGTTGTGTGTTGCGTGTGTTGTTTGCGAGTGTGTTGTGTGTGTATGTGTACCTATAAAAATTAAAAATATTTTATTTTTAAAATAACTATTGTTAGACATTGTCATTTACAGACCAGTTGAGTGAGACAGTTTACCAGCTCTGCAATAATCATGTTGCACACACATTCTCACATTACTCTCCAGTTTTTTCACATTTGTAGTATTTGTAACGTTTTTCTTATTCCAGTCACCTCAGCTTTACCCTCGGATCTGTATCTCTAATTATATCTTTATAACAGATAACAAATATATGAAGCAACTTTACAGTTGCAAGTATTCACACAAAAAAGTGCTCAGTCAGTACCGTGGTTCGATCCCCGGCACGGGCATCAACTTCGGACATGTTTCCATATCCCTGCTGCCCCTGTTCACCTAGCAGTGCACTTACTGCTAGATGAACAGGTGGGTGTTAGTCGACTAGTGTGGGTGGCACCCTGGGAGTGGGAGATAGTATACCTTACATAGGGTTGGGCTTTAAAGGACACGTCAGTTTCCGTTTTCTAATAATGTGGGTTTTTCCCCTATAGTCTACCCTGTCCATAATTACTCTCGTATTTGCTTTGTCTGCTTTCGTATTGAACTAAGGAAAGATCCTGGACTTCACCTTACGAAAGCAGACAAAGCAAAATGCGATAGTAAATTATGGTCAAGGTTGATTATAGGGTGAAATATAAACGTGATATTAGGAGACAGGGAAACTCACGCTCCTCTTAAAATGAACTGAGGTAAAATTGATGTGTATAAAAAAAATAGACGATCCAGCACTAGGTGTGATGAGGACTAAAACTTGGCTTTGTTATCCCACAGTGTCACCGCTGGAACAGACGTTCTGGAGGAAGCCTGGATTGACGTCTCTTTCACTCCCTCGGTGTTTCAAGTAACGACGGAGAGCAAGCAGAGGACTCCAGCCACGTCTGTGTCGACGTCACGTCCATCAGACGCAGGCAGGTACACCCGACACCCAGCAAGAGGATGGACTGGTGATGAAAGTTCCCTTGGGAAATGGGGAATTCAGGGTTGTAAAGTCAAGGGTGGCAGTGGATGAATGTGAAGTCAGAGGTGGAGGGAAGGAAGTAGAGAATGAGGTTGAAGTTAGTAGATGTGAGGCAGGAGAGTCATCTGACCATCGCCCATTCCCAACATCATAACGACTACAAACACTAGGTCATCTAGCAGGCCGATAATCAACCCAGGTATATTTTGTTTATAGTTGCAGCATAGCAGGTTCCCACGAGCCTAAAGTTTGTGATGTACCTCGGACAGCAGCATTTTCCCGGGGATGGCCATCCAGGGCACCAGACATTTCTTTGTGCTGTAAAGGACAGGTTGGGGCCCCCACCATCACTGTTTAAAATTCCTCAGGGTGGTCGTGCACACTCACCACTAATGGACGGCCAAGATTGTAATAATTAATTGGAAAAAGGGGTGTTAAAATTATCTATTCATTGCAAAGGGGGGGAGGGGGGGATAAAAAAACCCTGCAATAGAACTAGGGTATACAATGAAAGATGAAACTGTGCAGGCCTCACCATGACCTACAAATAGAAACATATGATCTTTCAAAACACGCACTGGGGAAAAACAGCAGTCTAAGTTACTCAGCGACGTAAAGCGTTCGTTAAGGCCAATTAAACAAAAAAGTTCTCTCAATTAAAATCATTTTACCAACGATATATATACAATAAGAGGTAAAAACTCGTGGAACAACTCCTCCATTCTGGAAGGATATGAAGCAGTGAGGGACGCAAAGATACAGCTGTGTAATGGACGACAGTGTCGGACAAGCAAGCGAGGGAAGGAGGCATGAAGAAGCGGCCGTCAAACGAGGGGAGGACCAGTGCCCTGGCAGCAGGAAACCCGTTGGTGGCAACCAACGGTGTATGGTAAAACAGCGAGAATGGCAACGACAATAGAACGAAGTCGAGTCCACCCCTCTGACACCGTTCCGGCAAGTCTGGACACGCAAGGCCTTACCTTCAGTAGCTCTACTATACTCTACAGAGAAGTTTTGATTTAGATGGTGTCAGTCGGAGGAAAAGAAACAAAAGCCTCCACAGTATGCGTCGAAGTGTTAGCATCGAGCAAGACAGGAGCGAGATGTCTATCTTAAAAAACTATTAAGTACAGAGACAAGTCTTTGGACCGAAGAGCCTGGGCGTACGTCTCGAGCAGCAGCGAGGACCCGGCTACAGGTCTACAAGCGACACTGAGGGCCAGACCAACCAAACATGTTGAAAGGAAGAGACCGAGTCCAACAAGAAGAACAGAAGTGACCGCCAGGCGCCCAGCCGGCGAGCACAGTAGATCAAGGCGACGAAGTTAAGGGGGGGGGGAAAAAAAATAAAAGACCGAGCAGTCATCAAGCAGTCCGTCATCCAGTTCGTCTCGGTCTGCTTCAGCCACCAGGGCCAAGACGGCTCACAGACTTCGAACTGCCGCACCTTCTAGATTTAAGAAAAAAACACAAGCTGCAACGGATGTGGTTCACACTGAGGATTCCCTACAACTGGAAAGTACACATGAAGGAAACAGTAAGGATAACACAAAAGAGTTTCTGGAACGGCTGGATAGCGTCCTCTCTGATTTAGTCGAAAATGAAAAGAAGAAAATCAGTAAATACGGCCACTCGAGTGTCAAAAAAGATCAACCTGAAAGTGAATTAGTGAATTCACAGCCACGAAAGAAGCTCTATAAAAAGAGAGATGTGAGTAAAGAAAAAGTAAGAAAGACTCCGGTTGATGATACCACTATGCATCTCTGCAGCAGCTTACGAGAAGAAACGTTGAAAAACTGTGAGGAGTAAAGAAACGGAAACTCCTTCCTCTGGCGAGTGCTGGAGAAATACCCTCAGAGGTTTACGGAACCGTCAACCCACAACCCCGTATCCGCAGGTTCTCAACGGTCCCTCCCAACTGTCTCTCTGGGTCTACCAGCCACCTAGACGGCGGCTACCCCGCCCCCGCCCTAGAGAATATCCTCTGATTCTACTCTTGGATGTCGAGGCTGCGGGGTGGGTGGAAACGTGTGTCAGGGGTCACTGGAACAAGGAGTCTTGGAAAGAGACGGAGCCCCGTGGTACGAGAAGACAGCCAACAAAGACTGGGGAGAACTTAGAGGATGAGGATACCTGTTACGGCATCGACTTATCAGGGCTCTCTGGCACTGCAACACCCCCTTGGTTCAGCACCACACGGACCTGGCTGGCCTACAAACAACCGCCTGCTGGGAGGAGGGCTGCTGATTCTCTGGCGACTTAAGCCGTGGACAGTGCCTAACACGGGAGTTGTGGCCGTACTCCCGAGAGGCATCCTCAATCCTGGGGTTCAACCACGCCGTCAGAGCAGCAACTTCACTTCGCCATTAGGTAACCCCACTAAACCACCGTCAGCGCAGGGTTGTTCGACGCTATGACACAGGTGGGGCTACTACACAACTCAAGGAACCTACTGAACGAGATCGGGAATCTTCAATTGTATAGTGACGAGGGTATCATACTCTCTACTTGATCAGTACGCCACAGTGCTGCCAATTGAGTCCTCAGACTGGATATTGTAACCCGCAACGTGTTCAGGGACGATCTCGGGGCTGAAGCTTCGGACCCAGCACTCTTTCCTACCCAGATACTAGTTGGAGCGATGACGACCAGACGCTAGTCAGTTGCTGCTGACAAGAGCATGGTGATTGCAGAGGGGGGACACGTCACTACTGACGCTGGCAGTCAACGGGGAAACAACTTACATGTACGAGCGGCGGGCGGCGGCGGGAGGTGGGGCGTACCCTGGCGGCCTCACAGCTCAACATCACGCATACGCCCACCACATACATACCAAAACCCTGACCACCCAACCGCCCATGAGGAGTCTCGGAGGAGGGAAGGAGGACGAGGGCGTGGCGCGAAGAGAAGCGGTGGGTGTGGTTGGCTCCAGGGCTAGTGAGGCAGGCCAGAGAGGAGGCGCAGCCAGAGGCTGGATGTGACCCTGAGCTGACTGGTCTCACTACGTCGCCCAACTTTGTCAACAATTAGAATCAAAATGTGAATCAAATTTCACCTATTAAAGTCGCCCGTAAGTGGGGACTCTTGTTGATTTTATGGAGGGACGACCCCTCAACCCCGCCGCCCCTCCTGTTATCACCCATCCAATCATACCTTAACCCTCCTCCCTTCCCTGTTATCACCCTCCAACCTACACCCTTCTTCCTCTCATCCTCCATAAACATTAATTCATGTTATACATTTGCTCCTTCATATACTCTTTAAAGTTCTTGAAGTCTTTTACTGTGTTTCTTACTCATCATTTCTTCCCTCCTTTTCGTTCCTCAGCCTAGAAAACTGTCATTCATCCTCCTCCCCCTCCCCTCATCTCTAATCCTGGTAAAACTTTCCTTCCCCTAACAGCTGGTTACCTCAATCTCTGTGGCCATGTGGGGCAGGGTTTGTTTGATTAACATTGTTATGTTATAGTCGAGTTTGTTGATGCTGTTATTGTAAAGTCAGTTGAGAGGCGATGCCATACATCATTCCTGTTTAAATAAAACCCAGGGAGAAGTCTCCTCTAAAACTATATAACACTACTTGTATTCTTATTAAATAAAATGTTGTTGATGAAATCTGTTCCCATGGTGTGTTCGTGTGGGTTGGGTGTTTTTGCGTTGTGTTGTGTGTTGGTGTGTGTTTGGGGTTGTGTGTTGTGTGTTTGCGGGGTGTTTTTTTGCGTGTGTTGTGTTTTTGCGTTGTGTTGCTGTGTTTTGTGTTTTGCGGTGTTTTGCGTTTTTTGTGTGGGGTTGTTTGCGTGTGTGTTGTGTTTGAGTGTGTGTTGTGTGTTGCGTGTGTGTTGGGGGTTGTGGTTGCGGGTGTTGCTGTGTGTTGGTGGTTGTGTACCTATAAAAAATTAAAAAATATTTTTTTTTTAAAATAACTATTGTTAGACATTGCATTTACGACCTTGATGGACGTTTACCAGCTCTGCAATAATCAGTTGCACACACATTCTCACTTACTCTCCATTTTTTTTCACATTTGTAGTTTTTTGTAATTTTTCTTTTCCGTCACCTCAGCTTTACCCCGGATCTGTACTTAATTATATCTTTATAACAATAACAAATATATGAAGCAACTTTACAGTTGCAAGTATTCACACAAAAAAGTGCTCAGTCAGTACCGTGGTTCGACCCCCGGGCAGGGGCATCAACTTCGGAATTTTTTCCATATCCCGCGCCCCTGTTTCCCCTAGCGTGATTTACTGCTAGATGAACGGGTGGGGGTTAGTCGACTAGTGGGGGTGGACCCTGGGAGTGGAGATAGTATACCTTACATAGGGTTGGGCTTTAAAGGACACGTCAGTTTCCGTTTTCTAATAATGTGGGTTTTTCCCCTATAGTCCCCCTGTCCAAATTACTACGTATTTGCTTTGTCTGCTTTCGTATTGAACTAAGGAAAGATCCTGGACTTCACCTTACGAAAGCAGACAAAGCAAATGCGATAGTAATTATGGTCAAGGTAGATTATAGGGGAAAAATAAACGTGATATTAGGAGACAGGGAAACTCACGCTCCTCTTAAAATGAACTGAGGTAAAATTGATGTGTATAAAAAAAATAGACGATCCAGCACTAGGTGTGATGAGACTAAACTTGGCTTCTGTTCTCCCACAGTGTCACCGCTGGAACAGACGTTCTGGAGGAAGCCTCTGATGACGTCTCTTTCACTCCCTCGGTGTTCAAGTAACGACGAGAGCCAAGCAGAGGACTCCAGCCACGTCTGTGTCGACGTCCACGTCCATCAGACGCAGGCAGGACACCCGCACCCAGCAAGAGGATGGACTGGTGAAAGTGTCCCCTCTCGGGAAAGGGAATTCAGGGTTGTAAGTCAAGGGGCAGTGGATGAATGTGAAGTCAGAGGTGGAGGGAAGGAAGTAGAGAATGAGGTGAAGATAGAAGATGTGAGGCAGGAGAGGTCATCTGACCCTCCGCCCAATCCCAACATCAATAACGACTACCACACACTAGGTCATCTAGCAGCCGATATCAACCCAGGTATATATTGTTTAAAGTTGCAGCATAGCAGGTTCCACGAGCCTCAACGTTGTGATAACCTGGGACGCAGCATTTTCCCAGGGTTAACCAAAAGGCACCAACTTTTCTTTGTGCTTTAAGGACGGTTGGGGCCCCCCACCATCACTGTATTCCTCAGGGGGGTCGTGCACACCACCACCTTAGACGGCAAGTTGTAATAAAAATTTAAAAAAGGGAAAAATATCACATTGCAAAAAACCCTGCAATAGGCGGTAAAAATTAAGAATTTTGGCAGGCCCACATAGACCTACAAAAAGACAACATATACTTCAAACACGCATGGGGAAAACAGCAAGTCGTAATTACTCCAGCGACGTAAAGCTTTTCGTTAAGGCCATAAACAAAACGTTCTCTAAATTAAAATATTTCCAACAAAATTAAATAACAATAAGAGGTAAAACTCAGGGAACAACCCCCTCCTTTTGGGGACGGATTTAACCAGTGAGGGACCAAAGATACGCTGGTAAGGGAAACAACAGTGTCGGACAAGAAAGCGGGGGGACGGAGGCAGGAACGGCCGTCAACAGGAGCCCAGAGCCCGGGCAGCCGGGGAAACCCCTTTGGGGAAAAACCCAAGGGTAGTAACACGGAAAAAGGCAACGACAATAAAAAAAGTCATCCCCCCACGAAAGTAAGTTTGGGAAAAACCCCTCCCAGTAGCTCTTTACCTTCAGAGAAGGTTTTGAGGGTTTCAAAAAAAACAAAAGCCTCCAAGACTGGGTTTTAGCTCGGAAAGCAGGAGGAGTTCATTTTAAAAAAGGGGGGCAAACAACTTTAAAAGAAGGCCCGTACCCAGGACGAGGACCCGCCAAAAGCGCCAGGCCGCCAAAAAACATTTTTAAAAAGGAAAGGGACGGGAAGACGAAGGACGGGGAGGGGGGGTAAAAAAGGGCTTGTTAAGAAGACCGAGCAGTCATCAAGCGTCCGTCATCCAGTTCGTCTTCGGTCTGCTTCACCCCGGGCCAAGCGGCTCAAGACTTCGAACTGCCGCCCCTTCTAGTTTTTAAAAAAAAACAAAAGCGCAACGGATGGGTTCACATGAGGATTCCCTACAACTGAAAGTACAATAAGGAAACAGTAAGGATAACACAAAAAATTTTTTAACGGTGGTACGTCCCTCTGATTTAGTCGAAAATGAAAAAAGAAAATCGTAAATACGGCCACTCGAGTGTCAAAAAAGATCAAACCTGAAAGTGAATTTTGTGAAAAACACAGCCCCCCGAAAGAAGCTCTATAAAAAAGAGTTTGATAAAAAAAAAGTAAGAAAGCCCCCCGGTTGATGAACCTAGCCCATCTCTGCGCGCTACGAGGAAACGTTGAAAACTGGAGAGGGAAAGAAACGAACCCTTCCCCTTGGCGACTGCTGGAGAAAACCCTCAATTTTTCGGGAACCCTCAACCCCACAACCCCGTACCCAGGTCTCAACGGTCCTCCCCAAATCGCCTCAGGGATACTACCCCGCCCCTAACGGGGGCTACCCCGCCCCCGCCCTAGTGAATATCCCTCTGACTTCTACTCTTCTGATGACGAGCAGCGGGAGGTGGAACACGTGTGTCAGGGGTCACTGGAACCAGAGTCTTTGGAAGAGACGGAGCCCGAGGTACGAGAAGACAGCCAACCAAAGACTGGGGAGAACATAGAGGATGAGGATACCTGTTACGGCAGCGACTATCAGGGCTCTCAGGCACTGCAACACCCCCTTGGATCAGCACCACACGACCTGGCTGGCCCTACAACACACCGCCTGCTGGAGGCTGCTGATTCTGGCGACTTCAGCGTGGACAGTGCCTACACCGGGAGTCGTGGCGCTACTCCCGAGGGCATCCTCAATCCTGGGTTCAAACCACGCCGTCAGAGCAGCAACTTCACTTCGCCATTAGTAACCACTAAACACCGTCAGCCGCGGTGTGTTCGACGCTTGCCACAGGTGGGGCCACTACAACAACTCAAGAGAACCATACTGAACGAGATCCGGGAATCTAAATTGTATAGTGACGAGAGTATCAACTCTCTACTTGATCAGTACCGCCACAAGTGCTGCCACTTGAGTCCCTCAGACCTGGATATTGTAACCCGCAGTGTTCAGGACGATCTCGGGGTGAAGCCTCGACCAGCCCAATATCTCTACCAGATACTAGTTGGAGGCGATGACGACCAGACGCAGTCAGTTGCTGCTGACAAGAGCATAGGTGATGCCGAGGACACGTCACTACTGACGCTGCAGTCAACGGGGAAAACTTACATGTACGAGCGGCGGCGGCGGCGGGAGGTGGGCGTACCCTGGCGGCCTCACAGCTCAACCTCACGCTACGCCCACCACATACATACCAAAACCCTGACCACCCACCGCCCACGCAGGAGTCAGGAGGAGACGGAGGACGAGGCGTGGGCGCGAGAAGCGGTGGGTGTGGTGGCTCCAGGGCTAGTGAGGCAGGCCAGAGAGGAGGCGCAGCAGAGGCTGGATGATGACCCTGAAGCTGACTGGTCTCACTACGTCGCCCAACTTTGTCAACAATTAGAAATCAAAATGTGAATCAAATTTCAAACTATTAAAGTTGCCCTTAGTGGACTCTTGTTGATATTATGAAGGTACGACCCCTCAACCCCGCCGCCCCTCCCTGTTATCACCCACCAACATACCTTAACCCCTCCCCCTTCCCTGTTATCACCCCACCAACCTAAACCCCTCTTCCTCCTCATCCTCCATAAACATTAATTCATGTTATACATTTGCTCCTTCATCATACTCTTTAAAGTTCTTGAAGTCTTTTCCCTGTGTTTCTTACTCATCATTCTTCCCTCCTTTCGTTCCTCAGCACTAGAAACTGTCATTCATCCCTCCCTCCCTCCCTCCCCTCATCTCTAATCACTGGTAAACTTTCCTTCCCCATACCAGCTGGTACCTCCATCTCTGTGGCCAGCTGGTGCAGGTGTTGATTAACATTGTTATGTTATAGTCGAGTTTGTTGATGCTGTTATTGTAACGTCAGTTGGAGAGGCGATGCCATACATCATTCCTGTTTACAATAAAACCCCGGGAGAAGCTCCTCTAAAAACTATATAACACACTTGTAATCTTATAAATAAAATGTTTGTTGAAACTGTCCCACTACATGACAGGCATCCCCACCTGCCAGACAGACCTACTGCCAGACAGACCTACTGCCAGACAGAGTTGCCCATTTGACCTTCCTTGTCTCCCCCCCCTCCCTCCTACACACACACACACTGTTAGTCCTCACCACTGTCAGGACATGATTGCCTCCCATAGTTTAGAGTCATAGGTCACAGTGTCTTGAGTCTAGACAGACACACTATAACCTCTTTGCGTTTAAGGCTTCCTCTTGAATATGATAATACCAGACCTCCCCACATCCCAAGTGAAAGAGCTACATCTCCCCCTCCTTCCCTCACTCTGTCTGTCTGTCTGTCTCTCTCTCTCTCTCTCTCTCTCTCTCTCTCTCTCTCTCTCTCTCTCTCTCTCTCTCTCTCTCTCTCTCTCTGTTAGTGACCCTCCGCTTGTACTTGCCAGTCTTCTTGTACCTTTACGAACATCTACAGTCATTCCATTCTCAGTCACTTGTCATCCTCTCCGTTACCTCTACATCACCTGTGTTTTTCCCTCTACTCTACCTTGCCTTCCCCTATAGCACCTCCACCACTCGGTACTTGTTCCCTCCCGGCTACCCTGAAGACACAACAACATACATTAGCGGTGGTGACGGAGGCGGCAGCGTCTGTGCAAATGTCAAAGTGGTGCCAGCCTCGCTGATACACTCTAGTGTGCAGAGCCAGCATGCAGCCCCCCCCCCCCCACATTTGATTAAGCATGACCACATATCGAGAGAAAGCTTTGTATTTTATAAAGTCTCGGAACTAAGAAAAATGACCTAAGAAGAGGCTAGTACTGGAACAAAGGGGGATAAGTAATGAAGACTAGTACTGGAACAAAGGGGGATAAGTAATGAAGACTAGTACTGGAACAAAGGGGGATAAGTAATGAAGACTAGCACTGGAACAAAGGGGGATAACCAATGAAAATTAGTACTGGAACAAAGGGGGATAACCAGTGAAGCGTCTACCCCCGAGAACTTGGGTCAAGGACCTAGGAAGAGAGGTCAGTCCTAGAACTAAGGAACATGACCTGAGAAGAAAGATTAAAAGAGACGATCAAGCTAAGACACTGAAGACAGAAGATCCAGGGGAGACAAAATCACGACTTGTTAGATCATTTAGAAGACCTAAGAACATGAACTGGGAAGAACTGGTCAGATTATAGGAAACACAGAGACACAGGAGCCGCAGAGGAAAGTTGCAAACGTAATAAATAGCTGAGGACATGCTTTTCTCAGCCCTTTTTGTTTATGGTCAGAAACTATAATGAAAATGAAGTGACGGAGACAATGCACAGTTTTAAGAATATGTATGATAGGGCCCACAAGGCTAGGAATTAATGCGACCATGGCCACCTGAGTGGCTGGGGGGGGGGGGGAAGGCAAGTACTGAAACCCTCTAATCAAAACCAGTTTCATGAGTACAATGTGAATCTTTAATGTAAGTAACAGTCAAAACAGCACATGAAGTTGAGGGATCCATCATAATAATAGTGGTTGCAGGGGTCGAGACCCAGCTCCTGGCCCCCGCGCCTCTATAATGAACGCTACTAGGTCCTCTCTCTCTCCCAGCTCCATGAGCTTTATCATGCCTCGTGTGTGTGTGTGTGTGTGTGTGTGTGTGTGTGTGTGGTGTGTGTGTGGTGGTGTGTGTGTGTGGGGTGTGTGGTGTGTTTGTGTGTGTGTGTGTGTGTGTGTGTTGTGTTTGTGTGTGTGTGTGGTGAGTGTGTGTGTGTGTGTGTGTGTGTGTGTGTGTGTGTGTGTGTGGTGTGTGTGTGTGTGTGTTGTGTGTTTGTGTGTGTGTGTGTGAGTGTGTGTGAGTGTGGGGTGTTTTGTGTGTGTGGTGTGTGTGTGTGTGTGTGTGTGTGTGTGTGTGTGTGTGTGTGTTTTTGTGTTTGTGTGTGGTGTGTGTGTGTGTGTGTGTGTGTGTGTGTGTGTGTGTGTGTGTGTGTGTGTGTGTGTGTGTTGTGTGTGGTGTTGTGTTTGTTGTGTGTGGGTGTGTGTTTTGTGTGTGTGTTGTGTGTGGTGTGTTGTGTGTGGGGTGTGTGGTGTGTGTGTGTGTGTGTGTGTGTGTGTGTGTGTGTGTGTGTGGTGTTGTGTTTGTTTTGTTTGTTTGTGTGTGTGTGTGGGTGTGTGTGTGTGTGGTGTGTACAGGGTGTTTCAAAAGGATTAACCCGATCGTGGACTATACTACTTTGAAACTGAATCCACCTCTTTGAAACACCCCGTGTATATACACTGTACTATACCACCGCCTGAACAACCTCATACTGACGGTACATATACCACCCCGCTGAACAACCTCATACTGACGGTACTATACCACCCCGCTGAACAACCTCATACTGACGGTACAATACCACCCCGCTGAACAACCTCATACTGACGGTACTATACCACCCCCCCTGAACAACCTCATACTGACGGTACTATACCCCCGCTGAACAAAACCCCATACTGACGGTACTTTTACCCCCCCGCTGAACAACCTCATATGCGGGACAATACCACCCGCCCGAACAACCTCATACTGGGCGGTACATACCACCCGCTGAACAACCTCATACTGACGGTCAATACCACCCCGCTGAACAACTCATATGACGGTACTATACCACCCCGCTGAACAACCTCATACTGACGGTACAATACCACCCCGCTGAACAACCTCATACTGACGGTACAATACCACCCCGCTGAACAACCTCATACTGACGGTACTATACCACCCCCCTGAACAACCCCATACTGACCCGGGACCATACCCCCGCTGAACAACCTCATATGACGGTACTTACCACCCCGCTGAACAACCTCATACTGACGGTACTATACCACCCCGCTGAACAACCTCATACTGACGGTACAATACCACCCCGCTGAACAACCTCATACTGACGGTACCAATCCACCCCGCTGAACAACCTCATACTGACGGTACAAAAACCACCCCGCTGAACAACCTCATCTGACGGTTCAATACCACCCCCCTGAACAACCTCATACTGACGGTACAATACCCCCGCTGAACAACTCATTACTGCGGTACTAATACCACCCCCCTGAACAACCTCATACTGACGTTACTATACCACCCCCCTGAACAACCCCCCCCATACTGACGGTACTATACCACCCCGCTGAACAACCTCATACTGACGGTACAATACCACCCCGCTGAACAACCTCATACTGACGGTACAATACCACCCGCTGAACAAACCCCTACTGACGGTACTATACCACCGCTGAACAACCTCATACTGACGGTACAAAACCACCCCGCTGAACAAAACCCCTTTTTTGACGGTACTATACCCCCCGCTGAAACAACCTCATACTGACGGTACTATACCACCCCGCTGAACAACCTCATACTGACGGTACAATACCACCCCGCTGAACAACCTCATACTGACGGTACTATACCACCCCGCTGAACAACCTCATACTGACGGTACTATACCACCCCGCTGAACAACCTCATACTGACTGTACTATACCACCCCGCTGAACAACCTCATACTGACTGTTTCTATACCACCCGTGAAAAACCTCATTCTGACTGTACTTTACCACCCCCCTGAACAACCTCATACTGACGGTTCAATACCACCCCTGAACAACCTCATACTGACGGTACTATACCACCCCGCTGAACAACCTCATACTGACGGTACTATACCACCCCGCTGAACAACCTCATACTGACGGTACTATACCACCCCGCTGAACAACCTCATACTGACGGTACAATACCACCCCGCTGAACAACCTCATACTGACGGTACTATACCACCCCCTGAAAAACCATACTGACGGTACTATACCACCCCGCTGAACAAAACCTCATACTGACGGTACAATACCACCCCGCTGAACAACACCCTCAAAACTGACGGTACAATACCACCCCCTGAACACCTCATCTGACGGGACATACCACCCGCTGAAAAAACCTCATACTGACGGTACTATACCACCCCGCTTGAACAACCTCATACTGACGGTACTATACCACCCCGCTGAACAACTCATACTGACGGTACTATACCCCCCGCTGAACAACCTCATACTGACGGTACTATACCACCCCGTGAACAAACCTCTACTGACGGTACTATACCACCCCGCTGAAACAACCTCATACTGGGCGGTACAATACCACCCCGCTGAACAACCTCATACTGACTGTACATACACCCCGCTGAACAAACCTTCATACTGACGGTTACTATACCACCCCGCTGAACAACCTCATACTGACGGTCTATACCACCCCGCTGAACAAACCTCTACTGACGGTACTATACCACCCCGCGAACAACTCATACTGCGGTCAATACCACCCCGCTGAACAACCTCATATGACGGTACTATACCACCCCGCTGAACAACCTCATACTGACGGTACTATACCACCGTGAACACTCATACTGACGGTACTATACCACCCCGCTGAACAACCTCATACTGACGGTACAATACCACCCCGCTGAACAACCTCATACTGACGGTACTATACCACCCCGCTGAACAACCTCATACTGACGGTACTATACCACCCCGCTGAACAACCTCATACTGGGCGGTACAATTTCCACCCCGCCCGAAAAAACCTATACTGACGGTACTATACCACCCGCTGAACAACCTCATACTGACGGTTACTATACCCCCCCGCTGAACAAAATCATACTGACGGTACTATACCCCCGCTGAAACTCTTTCTGCTGTACTATTTCCACCCCGCTGAACAACCTCATACTGACGGACAATACCACCCGCTGAACACATATGCGGTACTATACCACCCCGCTGAACAACCTCATACTGACGGTACTTTACCCCCGTGACAACCTCAACTGACGGTACTATACCACCCCGCTGAACAACCTCATACTGACGGTACTATACCACCCCGCTGAACAACCTCATACTGACGGTACTATACCACCCCGCTGAACAACCTCATACTGACGGTACAATACCACCCCGCTGAACAACCTCATACTGGACGGTACTATACCACCCCGCTGAACAACCTCATACTGACGGTACAATACCACTCCGCTGAACAACCTCATACTGACGGTACAATACCACCCCGCTGAACAACCTCATACTGACGGTACTATACCACCCCGCTGAACAACCTCATACTGACGGTACTATACCACCCCGCTGAACAACCTCATACTGACGGTTTCAATACCACCCCGCTGAAAAAACCTCATACTGACGGTTTCTATACACCCCCCTGAACAACCTCATACTGACGGTACTATACCACCCCGCTGAACAACCTCATACTGCGGTACTATACCACCCCGCTGAACAACCTCATTACTGCGGTACTATACCACCCCGCTGAACAACCTCAACTGACGGTACTATACCACCCGCGAACAACCTCATACTGACGGTACAATAAACCCCCCCTGAACAACCTCATACTGACGGGGACTATACCCCCCGCTGAACAAACCCTCATACTGCGGTACTATACCAACCCCCCTGAAAAAACCTCAAAACTGACGGTACAATACCACCCCGCTGACAACCTCATACTGACGGGTACTATACCACCCAGCTGAAACAACCTCATACTGACGGTACTTTACCACCCCGCTGAACAACCTCATACTGACTGTACTATACCACCCCGCTTTAACAACCTCATATGACGTACTTACACCCTGAACAATCTACGATGTACTACCACCCGCTGAACAACCTCATACTGACGGTACAATACCACCCCGCTGAACAACCTCTTTCTGACGGTACATACCACCCCGCGAACAAACCCCATACTGACGGTACTATAACCCGCTGAACAACCTCATACTGCGGTACTATACCACCCCGCTGAACAACCTCATACTGAGGTACAAAAACCACCCCCTGAAAACCTCATACTGACGGTACTATACCACCCCGCCTGACAACCTCATACTGACGGTACTATACCCCCGCTGAAAACCTCATAGACGTACTTACACCGTGAACACCTCATCTGACGGTCATACCACCCCGCTGAACAACCTCATACTGACGGTACTATACCACCCCCTGAACAACCTTCTACTGACGGTACTTACCACCCCGCTGACACCTCATACTGACGGTACTAACCACCCCGCTGAACAACCTCATACTGACGGTTACTATACCACCCCGCTGAACAACCTCAACTGACGGTACTATACCACCCCCCTGAACAACCTCATACTGACGGTACTATACCACCCCGCTGAACAACCCCATTTCTGACGGTACAATACCACCCCGCTGAAAAAAACCCCATATGACTGTACAATACCACCCCGCTGAACAACCTCATACTGAGGTACTATACCACCCCCGTGAACAAAACCTCATACTGACGGTACTAACCACCCGCTGAACAACTCATACTGACGGTACTATCCACCCCCCTAACACCTATACTGACGGTACAATACCACCCCGCTGAACAACCTCATACTGACGGTACTATACCACCCCGCTGAACAACCTCATACTGACGGTACTATACCACCCCGCTGAACAACCTCCTACTGACGGTACATACCACCCCGCTGAACAAACCTCTACTGACGGTACAATACCACCCCGCCTG